ACTTCGGGATGATTGTGTATTTTGGTTGGGTACGGGCGAATCGTTCCGATCTGAAGTAGCGAAGGGCAACAAGCTTGAATTTAGACCTTCAAATGTTAGCTTGTTGTCTTTACATTCTTTTTTATCTGTAAGAAAGTTTCGCCAGCAGATTAAAGCAGCTCTCTTCCACGAGCGAATATGCTGTAAATAATTCACCTTTCGAAAGACTCGGTGCTAGCTGCTAATCGGTTTTTGTTCCACGTACTGGCTAAGATTTTTGGACATTTCCATATGGTTGAAATTTTAGTTCCTGTACCTTGTTTAAATTTGTCAATGTAATTCTTGAGGAGCGCTATAATAAAATAGTGACTTGAGTCACATCATTTTTCAGAGCAACGAAAGGATTGAATATACTGGAGGACTTGCAAATCTTGAAACTTTAAAGTTTGTGAATAATTTTTTATAAGTCTAAATTTCCAATTTGAATTATATAGAATACTCTTATATCAACTGTGTACTTGTCTTTTGTGATTTTATCGGAAGAACAAGTTAAAATAATACACTAATTGTTCTCTGCTCTTTTAGTCATTTTCTATTTGATCTTACAACTACATAACATTATACTTCATTTGTTAAAGGAGAACCATAAAACGATGAAAGGAGTTTGTGAAAACGATAAGAAAAAAAATTTTTTTTTTCTCAGTATGTTTAATTTGAAATATTATTTAGGCAATGGATAATAGATAAATGTGTGCCGCTTGTTCGCGAAATAACTTTTGAAAATGCTGAAGAATTGACAGAAGAGGGTCTTCCATTTCTTATTCTATTTCGCCATCCAGATGATATACAAATTGACAAAATTTTCATGGAACAAGTTGCTCGTGAACTTTTTGATCAGAAATGTAAATACTTCAAATTGAATGGAAATTGGGGATGAAAATTAGAAATTTTTCTGGTAAATTTGTAATGAAAATGTTTGATTGCTGGAGAAAACTGCTATTCATACGTTTTGGGTATAACAGTTTCATTATCCTACTGCTGAGAGAACGAATAAAAAGAATATTAGAGGAAAGAACAAAGCTTTTTTCGAATTTTTTTTGATATGTTGCAAGAAAAAAGGATTGAAAATTAAGACTAATTGCTTTTACAAATTATTTTAAAAATTTCATTTTGTAGCTAGTATTAATTGTTTATATGCTGATGGTAAGAAATTTGTGCATCCACTGCAACATCTTGGTAAAACGATGAAGGATTTGCCTGTCCTTGCAATAGATTCTTTCCGTCATATGTATCTCTTTCCGGACATGAAATCCTTAACGTATGTTGTATTAATTTTTTTTTTTTGCAAAGAATTATCTCAGGAGTGTAATTTGGCTCGATTAAATTAAACGTCCGTTGCAAAAATTTTGTTGTAGCGTACCAGGAAAATTGCGCCAGTTTATTTTGGATTTGCATTCGGGGAAATTACATCGGGAGTTTCATCATGGTCCTGATCCGACGCAAGCTCCTGCCTCACCAGCATTGTCTGAGGCTGCACTTGAGAAAGTATGAATTTATCTCGTATATGTTAAAATATATGACCAAATAAGTTACTGAAAAAAAAACCGTAAAAATGATATTGGGTCTATATTTCGAGTGTGGTATCCTCTTCTTTACATTGTCGAGTATTCATTATCATATACAATTGCCTCACATAGAACGTTTTTCGATTTTACCAAAAAACCGAAAAAAAAAATGCTTTGCACCTATTTAAAAATATATTCACTTTTACCCTTTCGGTTTTTAAATCATACAATGCATTTGATGTGAGATTACTTATCCTGGTCCTCAGATGTAGTTGTTTCGAACTTTCTGAAAATGGAAACTGTTAAATGAAGGAAATCTTAATCATTAACCATTAAGTTGTTAAATGTAGTATGCTTGATATGACTTTGCAACCATATAACATCTTGTTCTTGAATCAGATTTGTAATGCTAATTCTCATATTTCATTTAGTTTATGCATTCCTTTATTTTTTTTTTTCCTTTTACTGCATTCCTTTATTAATTTCCAGCAAAGAAAAACTCTCGTCAATAATTGCAAAAATTATTTTTTATAGGTTTTTCACATCAATTTGCACTTGACATTCTCACTTCATAAGGATGAGATTCATAAGGATGAATTTTACTGAGAATGAGTTCGCATTGAGATAAACATTATTTTGTTCACATTTCAGGGAGTAAAAACTACAGACAAATTACAGCCACCAACGAGTATATTCAAGCAATTGAAACCGTCGGAAACGCGTTATTCGTTGTTATACAAGGATGAATTATGAGGTCTTATTACCTGTGTTACAAAACATTGTCTAGTCGTCATGACCATTTTATTCGTTGCAGTTTGGGTTCAGTTTTATTCTTTTTTTGTTTATATTTATTTCTCATGTGGATTTATGCTTTTTTTCTTGTTAAAGCACTAGGCGAAAGATGCTGAATGCGCTGATGACATTGAAAATCAGTTGACTTCATGAACATTGGATAGCGATCCAATCTTTATATAATGTTCTGATTTTTACTGCTTTTTTCTACGGGTAATTAATTCATTAATCTAATGGTGTCTTTTTTTCAACTGTTTTATTTTCTTCAATTTACATCGCTGCAAGTGTTACTCATGATGTTAACGAAGTTTGAAATCTTTTGGAATAAAATTTCCCGATTTCTTCACATAGATCCAAAAGTTACGCAAGAGTTGAAATGTCATGAGTTTTCAAAAAATTCCGTAATTTTAGCTCTTATTGGATTTGGGTTTGTTATGCATTATTTGGCGGTTCTTGGTGTTGTCACTTTAACTCTCTTGTTTCCTGTTCCACTGTCTTTAATAAGTAAAAGATGACTGCTTTTTCAAGAAATTTCCCAACCCACTTTTTTTCCTTTTAATATTATTTGGCTTTTAATAAAATTTGTAAGTCACTCTTAAAAACTGGCTGTTATATGGTGAGTAATTTTGAAAGTGTAATTTATAGTACCTCGCGGGACCCGCCTTTGCGATGAACATTACAAAAGGAGAGATCAGGGATGATCGCAGGAGCTCAAATTTCTCTATTGAAATAGCATTTCTTCATGGTGCATTTTGTCTTGACTGAACATACCTGCTGGACACACATCAGAAAGATCTTTTATGAATAATATTTCTGTAGCTTAAAATTTGTTCAGTTTCATATTTTGTAAATGCAACGAAAAATGATGCTAGTGCATATAGTACAAATTCTAAAGAATTTTTAAGGAATTTATTGATAATATTTATTAAGTTATTTGTTTTTTTTAAATGTGAAGGCTGGTCTTAAGACAATCTCTTTCATTCATTATTCCCATCCTAACATAGCCTTAATAAGGGTCAATAAATATGTGCAATCTTTCCTGATATTTACAATTTCTCAATATTTATAACTAGAAAAAAGCCTTTTCTTATCGTAATTGCCAAATTGTATTTTGTAATGTTTATGTGTGCAGCATTTTTAAACAGCACTAAAATGTAGTTTGTTTATGTAGTTTGTCCGCTTCTTTTATTGATTTAAGTAGAATTTTATTCTTACATTGTGGTTGGTTACGAAAAATTGTATTTCTTAGTTTCTGTTAAATAAGACGTATGTTTTCCAAACAAATTCCCATCAATGTAGAATGAAATTTTCACGAGAATTGTCAGCCATCAAATGCGTAAGTAGAATTGATTTTTTTTGAGGGGTGTTGTAATTTTAAGGCATTTGCTTTTAATGCATTGAAGTTGTTGACAAATGTAGTGTTCAACCACCCTAATGCATTTTAATTGTTATCAGTACAGCTGTATTGCCTAGCACAAAGAGATGAGACATAAATCAGTCTTATTAATAATATTATAGGCTTAAATGAATCAAATTTGAATTTTTTCCGTGTGAAAATTATTCACCTATTTCATAAATATTTTAAATCATTGCGTTACCAGTTTGTTAGTTTCGCTACCAAACAATTTATAGAAGAGGTTTGAAAAAGATTTGTTTCTATTTGTCTCCATCTTTGATTTAAATTTTCCTTTTCTTTTTATAATATCACTTCTTACATTAATTCATAATATTGAAATCGTTCCGAAAATTTCAAAAAGGAAAAGAATAAGTTTAAGGATATAATTTGAAAGCACCTTTTGTATTATTGTATTTTATAACATTTCTAATCTTGAAATTAAATATTTTTGTTTACTGTAGAAATGCACATTAAACATTTCTGTAATTCTACTACTAAATTAATTTGTACTGTATTCTTCATTCTACTATTGCGACCCTTAGGTTAAACAGTTTTGACAGCGTTTATGATCACATGGCTTTTTTTTTTCTCAATTATATAAACAAATAATGACAAATAAAAATTTTAATATATCTCGAAAACAAATCACATGAAAATGGAAATTATCATATGAAAATGAAAATTAATTTTGAGTCCAATAGATAGATGCCTTCATAGCTGTTATTTACATTTATCTTACAAGTGGATTCATGCATCGATTATTTTCTTCCATATGTGCTTGTCTTCATTATCACCAAAGTATTTTGCATAATCTTTCGTTATAATCATTGGTATATCAATGTAGCTCTACTCATTCATTTATTTCACCTGTAATTAAGTAAAGTATTACAATTTAATTCATTTGTTTATTGCGTTATAGTTTTTGTCAAATTTTCCCAATTTAGCAATGCAATTAGAAACATATCATCCATTATGGTTCACAAGTTTCCACTATAATTCTATCCTTTCCAAAATGTTAACATTTACTATGTACAGTATTTTTTTTTTAGATCATCATTTTGATCGAATAACAAAAATCGATCTATTTGTATTTTAATTTCATAATTCAATGAATTTCATGAAACTATTTTGAAATATAGTTATTCCTGCATTTTTTATGATTTCCATATATTAAATTGATGATTTTGATTTATTGAAAATAATAATAAAAAAAAATTTCCCATTAATCGGAATTTGAAAATTCAAGGATAAAGTTCTTTTAATGCGTTATGGAAGATAAAATATCTCACATTGTTTATGAGCAAATTAAAAATGATCCACCAAATAATCGACGTATTTTATCAATTCAAAGTCATGTGATACATGGATATGCTGGCAACAAATGTAGTGTATTTCCGATGCAGGTGCAATTTTTTATTTTGCTTTTTTGATGTTCTAATTATTTAATTAGAAGCCATTTGAGCAATTCTATAATTTCGAATCTATCAAATGAATACGCCTCAGAAGCTTTAAGACTGACTAAGAAGATTCAGGATGATATGGAACAAGGAATAATTATTAGTTAAACTAAATTACTAGTGATTTAAAGTATATTATATTATTTTAGTTACATGGTTATGAAGTGGATCCAATAAATTCGGTACAATTTTCCAACCATTCAGGTATTTTTTGTTTGATAATTTTGATAAATCCAATATTAACTTCGACATCATTTTTTTTTGTAACATGAATTAAATTGATTTAAAAAAAAATTGAGTAGTAGAAAGAAAAAGGCTAATAGTATATTGTTGTTATATGAATAACAATTAACATCCGAAATTCGTTAGAAATTGTTGGTCATTTCTTTAATTTAACCATTCAACTATCAGTTTAATTGTAATTTTATTGTTATTTCGTCAAACTTCGTAAGGTGATATTTTATTTGAGACAAAATTTGAAAATCCTAAAATCGAAATCGTGAACAAAGTTAAGAGTCGTAAATTTTGATAATTTATGCTATTTTTAGGATATAAACTGATGAGAGGTCAAATATTGGATGGCATACAACTGAACGATATTTATGAAGGCTTAAAACTGAACAAAATTAACAACTATTCACACGTTTTAACAGGTACCATTCTAAGCTATAAAAGACAGCTATGATGCTTTTATAGGATTACATGAAATGTTGAAATTCGGATTACAGTTCTTTGGCACGTTTACATCATTTTCCTGAACATTTCATTGCTGCCAAACATTGGAACAGTAATTCCAAACTAAACCCTATAAATCATATTAATTTGATTAATTTATAATCGAGATTGAGTGATATTTCTCTCCCTCCTATGAAATGATCACCACATGAGACTATAAAATGGAATTTTTAAAATAAATTCTTCGATTAATTAATTTTAATTAATAATTTTTTTTGCTATAAACATTTTCATATTTTCAGGATATTGTAAGGATTCGTCATTTTTGTATGAAGTTGTTAATATAGTCAAAGATTTGAAGCAAAAGAATCCAAATATTCTTTTCTGTGAGGATTTGTTTCTTTCATGTTATCTGAAATCGTTTAGTAGATTAATTTATTTATTGATATAATAATCCTTATCTGTCTATATCCTCTTGCATTCACAGCTTTTCATATATTTAAATGAAATAAAATATGACTAATGTAGGATGAATCTTTTATATTTCATTCGTGATACTTACCTTTTCTGAAGAAAAACCGGAAGTTATACAATTGCTGTTAGTTAGAAAAAGTATTTTCCAAAAATAATTCCCAAATAATGAAAAATTGATTCTCAAGTGTGTATACATTTGCAGATTGTGATCCTGTATTGGGTGACAATGGGCATTATGTAAGTTAAGATTAACTATTTAGCTAAACTAATGAAAGCTTAATTATGAATTCAAGTTTCTCCTCTTCTAGAAAGTTAGTTTTACAAATAGTTTTAAAAATTAAATTTATTTATGTTTTATTTATGTTTAGTATGTTCCAAAAGAGTTGATGCCAATTTATCGTGATGTTGTAATACCATTGGCTGATGTGATCACACCAAACATTTTTGAATTGTCGTAAGTTTTTCAAAATTATTTTAAATTATAGAAGAGACAGACATAATTGTTTAAGTAGTTAATTTTAAAAAGTATGAATAAAACATTCCGCTAATTAGCAATAAATATTGTTTCATTTCGTAACAAGTAGAGCAGATAAAAGACAAACCATCATTTAAAAAATAAATAATACATACACTTGTAAATACGTTTAAATTCCATACTGGAACGAAAATGATATTTGAATCATCGAATTACTCAGGGATAGTTGTTTAATTATGATCAGAGTAATAATCATAGTAAAAATAAAGAATGGATTGCAGTAAGTGTAAGCGAGAAAAAGTAATAAAAATTTTGTCTAAAATAGTTTGTAAATAAAAATAAACTAAAATTGAGGAAAAAATAAGTAAACCAAAAATAGAGTAAATATTCTTCCAATCTGCTTTATCTATTCATTTTATTGCTTTACGTATCGTTTTTTTTGTTTGTTTTACTTAATTAATATTTATAAACAGACAAGAAAAAGCAAACTTTTACCATATTTATGAAGAAGATGTTGAGAATTACCTAAGATTAAGAAAAATTTAAGCAATGTTTGCAAATTTAGACTTTAAACGTGAAATAGTTATCATAGACTAAAAGATATATTTATCATACAGTTTTTTTTCGTCAATAAAATTTGAATTTTTGGCATTTTTAAAGCGATCTATTTTTTTTTTTCAACAGTGAACTCTCTGGTTTATCGATAAATAATGAGAATGAATGCCTGAAAGCAATTGATCTGATGCATAAATCTGGTGTTAAAACAGTGGTTGTTTCAAGCGGTCTGGAAACGTCAACTACAAAATTTTGTTATGGATCTGTTTATAAAGGCATCTTTTGATATATTCTACTAAATATAATTATTTTAAGTTTATTTTTATTGCGAAAGATTTTTGAATAACAAAATTAATTTAGTGTTTGCAATTTTTACAATTTTTGATGGTTTTATTTTTTCAGACAATTTTAGAATTAGGTAATTTTTGAATTTTATTAAAATTACATCCAAAACTTTTTTCCAATGATAATTCCTTATTTAGGTTCTGGTGAACAAGCTTTGAAATATCGTTTTGATATACCGTCATTACCGGGAATGTTCGTAGGTACAGGTGATGTTTTCATCAGCCTTCTTGTTGTTTGGATGGATAAATTGAACGATAATATTACAGCGGCTATTCAAAATGTTATTGGTACTTTACAGAGTATACTACGACGAACTCTAAATAAAGCATACCGTAAGATATTAAACAGTTATTTTTTAACAGGAATTTTTTGTTGAAAATTTCCAATTTAGTTTTCTCATAAATTTGAAATATAAGATTTAAAAATAATTTGCGATTCATTTAGATTGTAATAAAATGTCAGCATTTCAAAGATTTAAATCTCTTTTGCTTCAATAGTCCAATAAACTTGGTTTTTTTTTTTATTTGAAATTATCAGAATTTATGGAAATCTTTTGTTTGTAGATCAGAGAGATCCTAAAGAATATACTCCAACATCGGAGGAATTGGAGCTACAGCTGGTACAAAGTCGTTTAGATATACTTGCTCCACAAATTACAATTAAGTCAACGAGACTTCAATAGTAATAATTGATATCTTAACCGGTTAAGAGCACGAATACATTCTTTACACTGTCACTTTCCATACTTTTCCTTTTCCACATTGGTAAATTTCATATGAGTAATGCTTGATGTGCTAATTTCTAATTTATTGATATATACTAGAACAAATCATTATATCACTGTAAAATTTCATGAATAAAATCAATTTCTTACAAAAATCATTCCATAAGAAAAAAATTAATTATCTTAAAAAAATTTTAACAACTATATCCAATTCGAAATTCATAAAATTAAGTTATCTTCAAGAAGGGAATGTTGATGCGCTCAGATTAAATCAAATATTTAATCGAAATTCAGGAATGAATCAATTTCGAGAATTTAATCTTATTGGAGAGTTCCGAAAATTTCTCGAAACATGTCGAAACATCATTATACAGTTAGTAATAGTTGACTTTATTCTAATATATTTGTTGCTAATACATTCTTCACACTTTCAAATCGATTATTCGAAAAAAAAAAGAACTAATTGAATGTTGTATTTTCTTCTGCTATAAATAAAAAATAAAATCATAAATGTTGAAAAGTTTTGGGTTAAAATAAAGAGCATGTAAAGTTTTTTTAATAATACACTCCTCTCTGGAATTATGATTTACGCAAATGTTTATTTTAATTTTTATCTTCATTAACCTATCATCCTACTTGTTCAAAATAAATTTAAACTCTTTCAGACATATTACAATTGGATCATTTTCGGTAGCTTTTTAGCGTCACTTTTTTCTGCTGCAGTGATTCTAATTGATGCATGTAAAAATTTCCAATATACATGTATGAAGCATAGAGATGATCAGTTATCAAAATTAATCAATTGATCAAATTAACATATATCTCTTTTTCCCATACATGGAAAATACTTTCCTATCATTCCAGAATAATTGAAAAATCAGTGGTAAAAGAAGAATTGCTGAGTAAATGGATGAATATGAAAAGTTTGCAGTATGCTATTGATTATATTCCTCTATTTCGAATCAATTGATTTGAACAGGATAGTTTGATCCTGACAATAATTGTATGAAATATTTTTTAAAAAAATTTTTTCTTGAAATTTCAATTTTAGCATCAAATTTTTTCTTTTCAAAAAATTGCTTCCTCACTTGTGCATATATAATTTTAGTTAATTTGGAATTTATATAACGTCTTATATAGCAGGTTTAGATATATATAGCATTTGTTGTATATAATTTTGAGGGGAAGAAATTTCTTTTTTTTTGCTCAAATTTTTCTAAATAAATTGTTTTATATAATAACAAGAAAGTGGAATAGGATGAGTTGTGATAACTTTTGGATAAGAGTGATAAAAGAAAGGGTGAAATTTAGGATTGAACTATTTCAATGCATCATATTATTGTTATGTAGAATTATAATTTTTTCTTTTTAAATCTGGAACGAATAGTGACAACTGTCTTTCAAAGTTCATTTCTAATTAATATAAATGTAATTAATCAATAGCACATATCAAGAATTAAACCATGGTATTTTGAGTACATATAAAAAGAGTACATACTACATACTCTAAAAAGGGTATATATTTGAAATAAATATGTAATTTCAACCGATCGTGTCACTGAACTACTTTTGTCGCATTATACTATAATTTTTTTTTACTGTAACACAGTTAACTTTGTGTTGTGTAGAAAAGATAATTTAAATTAACATATTTAATTTGTGGATCTTTCTAATAAAATGTGAAGTTTTTTAAGTATTACTTTTGTTTTTTTATTTCATCAAAAAATTTGCAATCTACAAAGAATATGGTAATTTCTTACAAATAAGAGATGATATTTTTCGAAATTGTTAAAATCGAAAATCAATTTTTTGTCTGTTAAAAAAAATTTTGTTTTCTTTTATCTCAAAATGAAATTAACATTTATTTATGTGTTTTGCTGAAAAGATCCATTGTTTTTTAATGTTCGCTTTCGTTATCTTTATCTTTTTCTCTCCTGATATCCTCATCTTATCTATTCTCATTTCCTATTTCTCAAATTTTAAATGAATTAGTTTTAGGCTTGTTGCATAGCAGTTAATTAAAACAGCATCGCGGCAAAAAAAAAAATATTCCAATAATCTTTAAAATTTTTGCGAATTTATAATAGTACTCGAATTTATAATAGCATTTTTCCATTTTTTTTTTTTTCAGGTAACATAACGAGCGGAAATTATTGTGAAAGATGTGTTAGTGTCGAAGAGGTTATTGATTTTTAAGTTGGGTTAATTTGGGCTGCAGGATTGTGTTTCCTTTCAGTAATAGTTAATCGTTGTATTAGAGTAAGATCTGATGGATTAGGCTTGAATTTCTGATTCTGATCTTGGTCTAGTATATTTGTTCCAGAGAATTGGTTGAAGTGACTACACACCAACAGATGTAGTTTATTGGATAGTATAAATATGTTGACGACAAT